AAAATCTCCTCCAAACTCCGAGCCATCCTGCCCCCCAGCACAGTAGACCCTCTTCCGTTTAGGTGCAGTCCATCTTGGCTATAAGGTGTGTGCAAAATTGACTTATGCCACGCACCACATGTAATATTTCTTAAATTACTACTTTGGAGATCTTTTTCTTCCTGAACTTATTCTTCAGGACCTTCAATTTTTCTATGACTTTGTCATTGTTAGCAATATGGACAATGAGAGCTGGGTCATCCCAGCCCCTACCAATAATACATCCACTCTGTTCTGTCAGTTACATGCCAGACCAGGGCATCCGGGAGACAGGAAACTGTCTAGCTGAGATGAACAGAGCGGCATATTATCATATCTACCCCCTAATAATAGAATCCCCTACCACTACAACCTGTCTAATGTTTTTTTTTATTCTCAGACCCACCCGTACTAGAGGGACTGTTCCCACGGCTGTTAGAAGGAGCAGTTGTTTTCTTGAACTTCTTTTTTTCAACTGCTACATGAAATAGCCTTCTTAAAAGAGACTATTTCCAATGTTGTGGCTGATCTTTGAATAGAAATAACAAAACAATAGAAAATAACTTAATATATGTACTAAATAAAATGGAATTGGACCTTAAAATCAATCTCTTTATAACTTAAAAATATTATAAGATAAAAATGAAGAGCATATGTTAAAAAAATATGTTTCTTATGGATCTATATGAATTTTTTTAAAGAAGCAGCAGGTAATGTACCTTGTGTTATTAGTCTGCCATGGGAGTTTGTACTGTTTTCCAAGTATTAATAATGAGAGGATAGACATACTATGTTAATTTGAATGAACAAGAAGAAGACAGTGTTGTAGATCTTTTTATTTATGGACCACGCTTGATGTTTGCAGTGTATGCTGTCATGTAACTAATATCCATTTCTAACTTTACATATTTGTAATGATGGTTTTGACACTGATGTAACCTTTATTAATAATAGGGTTAATAAGATTTCTGCTTTTCATGGAGATGAGGACAATTGAAACTCATATTTTCATCCTTTTCTTTTAGGAAGGGTGTTTGTGGCCTTCAGATAACTTGGTGCAACGACAAAGTGCTTCAGAGGTATAATATACCACCTTATTTGGGGGAGTGCTATGATATGTCTTTTTTAGGTAGTAAGTAATACAGTAAAACAAAGTAAATACAAACAAAGCCTGTTACAAACTTAACAGCTAAAACAAGAAGGCGAGAAAGGGAGAAACGCAGCCATGCCCATACATATCAACGATCACAGTTTGAAATACATCAAATTATGTTACACATTTGAATAAGCAGACAAATTTCAAATTAGGCATATGTAGAGTTTATCTCAGGACAACATATAGGGGGAGATATGGAAATCATCTTTTGACATATCAAAATTTACTGTACCGCTGACAGAGATCCAATTCTCACATCATTGATGGGGTTCAGGATGAGAGGAGGGAGACACATTTGATCACAAAATATTACCACATATTGGTATATTTCAGCATGGAATGGTTTTTAGAATTAATTTTAAAAAAATCTCTACAATATATTTAACCTATTCACAATGCATAGATGGGAGGTCATCACTCATGAAGTAGAGGTGAAGAAGAGAATAAGCTGCACTGATAGAATAAATAATTATTGGTACTTTTTTATTCAGTCCCTTTTACCAACCTCCATCAGTCTTAGATACTTTCTAGTTATCACTGAAAATGCTCTTTCGTCTTTTTCTTAGTCTTCTTCAGTGAGTTTGGACTTTGAGATCTCTTATATATAATCTCTCTCTGGGGCAGAGGTGGATGAAAAAGTGGAGGGAGAGGTTAACTACTTGTGGAGGAAAAAAGTATGAATGAGAGGAAAAGTTGAAACTTATAAGACATTGTCTGTGAAACACCTAAAGATAACAATATTTGTATACAAGGGTCTCCCACTATCTTGTTAACCATTGTGGTGATTTTTATTATACTGTTGTACTGCACATATTTTGACAGTTATATATATATTTTACATATGCATCTTTTACAGGGACTAATTTATTAAATTGTTTTCTAGATCATGTATGCTCCAAGGTCAAGAGAAAGATTTATGGCACCTTCCTTTATGCAGAGAGATCGTTTCAGCCGCTTCCAGCCAACCTACCCATATGTACAGCATGAAATTGACCTTCCACCCACCATTTCTCTCTCTGATGGAGAGGATCCTCCACCCTACCAGGGGCCATGTACACTTCAATTGAGGGACCCAGAACAGCAAATGGAACTAAACAGAGAATCTGTTCGAGCACCTCCAAACAGAACCATTTTTGACAGTGATTTAATAGATATTTCAATGTACAATGGGGGTCCTTGCCCACCAAGCAGCAATTCGGGTATCAGTGCAACCAACTATAGCAACAATGGTAGAATGGAAGGCCCACCACCAACCTACAATGAAGTTATGGGACATTTTCCAGGCTCATCGTATTTCCACCACCAGCAAAACTCCTCTCCTTCATCACAGAGAGGTAGCAGACTTCACTTTCATCAGAACAATTCAGAGAGCACAATAGTCCCCATGAATGGTAAAGACAAACAGCCAGGTAACCTTGTCTGAGACCTGGCAATGTACCTGAAGCAATGGATATACTAATCACCATAGACCAGCTGCCCGTTGAGCTCTAGTACACACTGCTACTATGTTTTAAGTGGTACAATTTAGTTAAACCAAATGCACAAATTACAATATGCTCAATCTGATTCCAGTCAGAGGAATGCATGCAGTTGGATAGAATTAGAAACACTTCCTTTCTGTTTGACCTAGATTTGTTATTCAGGAAGAATATCTTTTTTATGTTAACCTATTTCAGTTATTTAAACTTTGAAAGGACTTAGCACAGAACACAAGCTTGCATAGCCTTTTGTATACTACAGCACGGCAATGAAAAAAAAAAAAACTTTTAATTTACACATACTGGGCGTTAAGGAAGATGGCCAGTCTTTTTTCCTTTTTTTTTTTTGGACAGGGACAATTTTAGTGTTGTTATTTCTATGAATCCATATTCCTTTTTCATGTGTGCCAATATAACGTTAGATGTATGCAGGGAATAAATGATAAGAATGACAAACCTGCTAAATGAGTGGAAATCGTTGCACTAACTAATTGTTCAAACTATACATGAGGGAATGTACTATGTTGTCAGATGTGGTAAAATCTGCCCTGTAAGAGCTATGAATTCTCAGAGCAACACAAATTTTCGATGGAGAACGTATGCACTAATTCCTGCTGGGCAACAAATGTCCTCTGGCTCTGCATGGACTACAATTCTTTTCATGTATAGGCAGTCTGTAGACAGCTTGATGAAAGTTCTAGTCCAACAACAGCCAGATGGCTTGTTTTCACCAGCCCTGCACTAAAATGTTACCAGCTCAATGGACTTTTGCATGAAATTGGAAATCCTGACATTTCCTAGTAATATGTCTTTTATTGCACAGAGGAAGTTCAAAATGGCCAACACAGTTATTCATAACCAAGGATTGCAAGTCTTTGGATGTACTACAGCATGCTTTATAGTTTGATAGCTATGACTTTTTTTATGTTACTAAATGTAATCTTACAACCATATCAGCTGCTTTTGCTATACTGGTCCTGATAGAAAAGTAGCCCTTTCTATACAAAATTACTAAAGGTTTGTTTTTTATTGTTTTTTTTTTTTTTTTTTTAATCCTCATGGACCACCAGACCTTCGCATAGGATGTCCAGAACAGTGGTGGCCATTTAAATGCCTATTAGCTTCAGAATGGCTAGTTATCAAACTAACTAGTATTTGTTTGATTAGCATTGGCGGAGTATAGCCTAGAGAGCCATATCAGTTTTGATAACTCTTTTTCCATGCACATTGAAAGACGATGAAATGTCCCGTATGTCAGTTTTGCTGCTGTGTGTGAGTTTACAGGTTGTTTTTTGTTCATATGCTTTATGTAGTCTTATCACATGCAAACATTTATGCTGATTAATGGTGAATTGTTTTTAATACACCATTATATTACAGTAAATTACAACTATTACATGATAAGTAATGCAATAACTAGCAATTTGTATTATAGTAGAATTGCATTTCGAATGTACAAATTGCAAACTTTTACTAAACAGTGAGTTGTGGTGCATTTAATAACTGAATTCTAAAATAGACAAGTAGGAGATTTGTTCCAGCTCACTTAAACTAAAATGTTTTAGTGAATAAAAAAACCTTAACAGTGTAGTATTAATAATGCTTCTTCTATTACTGAGCAGTTTTGCACCTGTATATAGCTTTACATGGAGGGGGTGGTGAGGCTGAAATGTGGAATACAGTTTAATAATGTCATAGATAATTATATGAACTGACTTCCAACATCATCTTATGATTGAACAGTACACCCGGTTAAAAAAAATAACCAAAAATGTCAGAATTCTGAGCTTGTTACTGCTATGTTATTTTAAAAAAAATGTATCAGAAAAGTAGAGCAATCACCATGGAAATATACCAGAGAATGCCATTGTTTTTTATGGAAAAAATGATCTTGACGAACAATTTGATAAATCGTCTTTATTTGTGCTTGCTGCTATGTCATTACCCCTTACACCCACGTGTTAATATATAAATAATAGGCCTTCACAATTTGCTTTCATCGAGGACATCTGTGTGGCTGTATATATTTAGCAGTCTGAGACAATTAAAAGTTTGATGGTTTAGCGACCTATCACTGTTTAGCTCTATATAGAACTAAAGGTGTGACCATTGGGAAAAAAAATGATGTCTTCTATAACTTGCTCTAAGCGCTTTTATTTATATGGTGCATTTACATATGCTATTTGCCTCTCTTGTTCATTACAGCATCAGGCAGAAAGTACATCTTTAAGAGGAGCTAGATATAGGGCAATGCAGCTGAATTGGCACCTGTGATGTTAAATTATTATAAGAAGTCTAAGAAGAAATGTGTGAATCAAAGTCACTGACCAAAATGACACCACAGACCCAAGGAGTTAACCCTCATTCCTTAGTGATGTAATATAGATAACATAGCTAAAATACAGATATTCTCAATACTGACGTCTCTGCATTTTAGTTCTTAGTAGTCCAGATCCAAATGTGTTTTAAAAGCTCTAGAGAGCCATACCTTTCAATGGGAGCTTTTGAGATTTGAGAACGTATTTACACACGCACAGAAATGATCGAATATGTTTAGAACGAGGCAGACCTGCCTGCAATTAGTTTAACTCATGAAAACTATGAATACAATTTGCTGCTAAGATTATACTCAGGAGTGTATTTCACGTGGCAGCAAGCTGTGCTAATTTGAATGCAAGTTACTAAAAAAATGTAGGTTCCTTCACCATGGCATATAAAGTAAACCTAAAACAAAGGACACTGATTGATTCTGTGTCCATCATCCATAGTAAGCACATTTCATTACTGTCACTAAAGGTACAATTCAAGCACCATAACCACAACAATATGCTGTAGTGGCTATGAAGTAAAGAGTCCATAGTTACCCCCCTCACCACCCATTGTAAGTAGTCATACACACTTAAAATGGTTTTATTTCTGACCTGGCTCACAATGGGTGCAGTCTTTTCCTCCACTATGTCTGACAGAGAACTAGAAGCTCTCTGTCTGAGCTAAGCTCAGTGGTGCAGGGCTTAGCTCATTGGCTGAGCATGATCAACTGAAACGCTCAGGCAATATCCTAGCACTTAACCGATGAGAAGAAATTTAGAATGGATTATGAAACAAATAAAAAAAAATAACATAATATGAAATTCCATCAAAAAACATCTTCTATTAAGCCAGTCTCTGGTTTAAATAGATAGTAAAGGAACCCTGACCACTTAATCCTGACCTCCCAATGCTTCCATATGGACATCAAGTTTGATGGTGTCAGGTGAGGAGACAGGGAAGCTGTGGTGAGACCTGTGAGCTACAGGATAAACTCTTATGTGGGGGATTGACAACTAAATAACTAGAATAACCCTTTGATGGTTTCAGACTGCCCCAAGACTGGTATTTGTAGAATGAGTCATCACATGAGCATAAAACATGAGAAAAATAGATGTTTGGTGTGTAAACTCTAAGAAAGATTGTGTAACACATACATTTTATTTAATTTTAAATGTAATGGTATATTGTTATCAAATGGCTTTCTTTTCAAAATTTCACTGCCAAAGAATCCCATTGCGCTTAGCAGGGAGGTGAATTAAGCACAAGTACATGCTAATCTGGCTTTGGCTGCTACATAAATACATTGCATAACAAATTCACAGCCTTTGGTTCAGGGTTCCTGTGGATGTAAAAAGGCTAACCATATTTGTACCAGAATTATGATAAATGCATTTGTCAACAATCTGGGTACTGAGGGGTTAATATTATCTATCTTTTTTTATCTGACACATTTTGCTTGTATTTGTTAGGATTAGGAAAAGAGTTAATTATTTTTGTAATCACTATTCATCCACTTTCCCATTGTTCACTTTGCCTCCTCACAAATCTGTCTTACTTGGTTTTGGATGGCCCGGGATAGGGGCGCATGGGTGTGTGTGACTGTTTTTCAGGTCAAATGCATTTGGATTCTTTCCTCAGTGGATAAACTTGGTATGATTGCACTTCATCTTTGTTTTTACTGTACACATACTATAAGCCATTTTACACTCTGACTATGGAGCAATCCAGCATTGAAAAGAATAAAGGGATGTACAGTAATAGAAATTGATCTTTCTTTTTATAAAGAGAACTCATATTCCTGCCAACCCAATGATTTCAATTTAAAAACTTAAGGGAAAGATCTGATCATGATAATGCCATGACTTGATAAGAACATTATAATTTAAAAATACATATTTTCTTCCTTTAGAACGTTAGATTACTGGCCTTTAACAAAAGTTATAAAATAACCTTAAAGGAACACTATAGGGTCAGGAACACAAACATGTATTCCTGACCCTATAAGGTTAAACCACCATCTAGCCACCCTGGTTCCCTCATGCCTCCCTAAATATTGTAAAATCTTGCTTGTATTCAAGATTTTACAATCCTTTAGACCTGTCCACTGCCTGCTGACATCAGCAGAAGTGGTAGCCTGATCCAATCACAATACTTCCCCATAGGATTGGCTGAGACTGACAAAGAGGCAGATCAAGGGCATAGCCAGCACAATTCAAACACAGCCCTGGCCAATCAGTGAATCAATGCATCTCTATGAGGAAAGTTCAGTGTCTGCATGCAGAGCGAGGAGATACTGAATGTTTGGATGAATTTTAGGTAGCCATAACCCAGGAAGGATCTCTAACAGCTATCTGAGGAGTGGCCAGTGAAATTATCACTAGGCTGTAATGTAAACACTGCATTTTCTCTAAAAATACAGTGTTTACAGCAAAAAGCCTGAAGGTAATGATTCTACTCACCAGAACAAATTCAATAAGCTGTAGTTGTTCTGGTGACTATAGTGTCCCTTTAAGCAATGTTTTATGTTCATTGTGATTTTGCTTTGCTTCTGGCTAAATAGCTCATGCTAGTGCCCACTTTAGATATTTTCATACAATTCATACATTTTTATAGGAATGTTACCAGGTTGTGTTTTCCCACAATACATAGTTTCTCCTTTGTGTGATGTATAATGTAAAAAAGAGCAACATATTTGTTTGTAAGATATAGCAAGCTGTTTAAAGTCTCCCAGGAAGCCATGTTGTTCTCCTGCATTTGTGCTGTGCCTCAGCTGGGTATAGTGCGTTTTTCAGTTAAGCCTCATAAATTTTTACATGGTATTTTTTTTTATTTTTTGTAAAATGTTGTATATAACTTGAATTTATTATGCACATATCCTACCCAATGGGTAGAACACAAATATCCATTGTTAATACTGTAATATACTGTAAAGCCAATACCAATTTTAACAAAATGGCATAGATTTTATGAAATGCCTAACATGTCTCTAGTCCTTTTTTGTAAGAATATTTGCAAACAAATGCATTCAAATGATAGAAATCTATGTATTTTATTTTCCTATTAAATATCAATATATCACACTGGGGTTCAAAGGGAAAGAACAAATCTATGTATTTTTTATATCATTCTGGAAGTGAATGTTTGAATGTCTTTAATTTCTTCCAACGTGATTTTTATGTTTCATCTGTATGCTAGTCATTTTTGTCATATTATTATTAAGGTGTTGGACCAGTATTATTCTTGCACCATGTTCAAGATATTTTTTCATTATTATTTTCTTTTTTTAATCTCTTGCCTGTGTGGTATTAATGAGAACATTAGTTAATATAAAAATAGTTCTTGAAATAAAAAAAAAATACAGGCGATATTAGATACCTGTATTAGAATCTGTATTTCGCTTTTGGCACAAGCTACGCTATATAATTATTTGTATTTGTTACAATATTATAGATTTGCACTGATTAGGATCCCATTCTGATGTATCCAATTGGGTTCAGTATAACCTAACATAATAAACACAATTTGATAATGATGGATAAACTTGGCAACTTAGATGTTTGTGAATTAAATTCCCTTTCAGGATGGCTAAGACTCATGGGAATAACGGTAGTTTAATTTAGAGAAAGATCTGGAGTGATTATAATGGCCATTTTTCTTTTAATTAAAGGTTTATAACATGTTTTGATGTAAGGTTGCATTTTGATATAAAAGAAGTATCCATTTTAATATAGGCATGAAGAAGGCTATTTGTTAAGTGAAAGAATTGTATGCATTATCACATTTAGGAATAGTTGGCCATAATAAAGAAGAGCAACAAAATTACATCTAGTTGTCAAACGTGTGACAAAGGACCTTTAAATAGACTGCACGTTTTTTAACATCCTTTATGACTTACTTTTTTGAATGATGGCCTAGATTCTATGACCAGAGATGAATTAAATGTTTGTTACTGAATAACATTTCTCCTACTAAAGTCTAAGAGAAATTATTATTCCATTAGTAGAAAAATAACCTCCAGTGAGAATCTGGCCCAAAGAAACCCGAAAGAGTTGCACATGATGTAATCCTGCAGATTTTGTTAGTGTTAAAACAGCTTTGCCTGTCAATTGATTAATGATTGTCAGAAATGAAACCAGCAAAATATACCTTCAGCAATCTTTAAAAATAGATAAATGCATTTTGCATTGACAGGGCCAATTTTGTATTATTTAGGTTTAATTTCTACTTTTTATGGTGCACTTTGTAGGTTAAATTACATACCAGCATTTTTCTTCTTAATTGGGCTAAATGAATATATATATGTATATATAATGTTTATATAGTCCACATGTATTTCATCAGCTGACAAATTTGATCACGATTTGTCTCTGTGAGTTCAGTATGTATCACAACTCACTTAGAGAGGCTGATTAAATCCCATTGTGCATTGCTGCATGTTTTGGCATTATATACATAAGAATTAAAAATGCCAGAGTAAAACCCAATCCATATACATGACTGCCCAGATCAATTTTACAAATAGGATAGTGAAAGATGCTCTCTATACGGTGGTATATAGCTAAATTTAAATGGACACTATACTCACTAAGCACTACATTAGCTTCATGTAGCATTTTGAGCCTGTAGATCATGTCTCTCAAGTCTGTGCCATTTAGGAGTTAAATTACTTTTGTTTCTGTTTATGCAGCCCTGCTCACAACCTACCCAGACTGTGACTCACACAGCCTGCATGAAATAATGGTTTCATTTTCACTGAGATAACTTATTTTAGAAATGTATATATCTGTAAAGTTAGTCACATCCTGCTCTACACATAGAGTAGGAGATTATAAATTCTAAATAAAACAGAATGTACAATAAAGAAAATTTAAAAATTAGATCTCTCTTTACAGGAAATGTTTAGGAAGGCTATTCAAGTCACATGCAGGGAGGTGTGACTATGGCTGTATAAACAAAGTGATTTAACTCCTAAATGGCAGGTTATTGAGCAGTGCAACTACAGGGGCATTATCTAAACTGTTTCATTAAGCTAATGTTTGTTTTGTTGACTATAGAGTCTTTAAGGCAATCACTGGTGTGGACCAGTGCAGCCACAGATTCGGTAAAATGAACAGTGCATTGTTTTTATACTTACAGGTTTAACCCATATAGGAAATCCGCAATGTTGCACTTGAGATCATTACTATTATGCCATATGGTTGGAGAGGGGAGAGCGGCCTGATTTAAACACCTATTGAGGTGATACTGTATCATAGCACTTAACAGAAGCACTTAACATTAAACAAAAAAGACAGCACTTAATTTTAACACAATTATATATATTTTTTTGTATTTGACTAGTAATTCTGAACTTTTTAACTATTGATGAAAATGTACTCTTTAAAGTTATGTTATGATTAAAAACATTTCCACCATAAAGTGTTAATCTAAAAGAAACCCTAGTATCAAATTAAAGTTTATGAAAGGGCATGTACAGCACCCAAGCATGTGTATCTGTTAAACTGACACAATGGGATCTGTGCAAAAAATCACTGACATCAAATGTCTGGTTTTGGTAATGCTACATATCTATATTTTTACTGAAACAGAATATACTATTGCTAATTTGCCATACTTTGATCATTTTCCTTTCGTTGTGTTTCTTTTAATTGGTGGTTGACGTTTCTATTATTTTATCAGTTGACTTACTGTTAATAGTAAAGAACTAACTAACTGAATATGACTGTAGTATATTAGAATGTCCATATCCCAAAACAGGGATTCAATTTCCAGTGCATTTAGAAAGGTTTGTTCTTCATCTGTTCTAAAACATATGCAGGTTTAAATGTGTGGGAATATTTTAAATGACTTGTGTAACACTTATTTTTGTGGGGCTAATTTCTTACTCATGAATGTCTGCAGTAATTATAGTAATTATTCTTTTTGTCTTTTAACCAAAATGTCAGTTGCAGTAATCATTAATTTATTGTGTTTTATTGATAAAGTGTGATAATTTGTGCATCTAGGTGAATTTTGAATTGTCTTAACAAAACAGTATTATATATATATTTAATAATAAAAAGGAATTAAACTATGTTTTACGTTAAGCTTACATGTTTTTAAGACACACTTTGGACCAAACAAAAACTTAAAATGGTTAATTCTGCTTTGCACATTAAAGTAGAGGTAGAAATTTAGAGTGCTTTCAGATTAGCTTGCACAAATAGTATTATTTTGTTTTTGAGAATATAACATGTTATCAAATAAATACATATATATTGTTTTCTTTAAGTGCACCTGTCATTAAACAATATTCTGGGGAACTCCAAAAAGCATACAATTTCAATCTATATGTTGCTAGCAAATGCACATTTCAAACAGCATTTTGTCACACAGTTTTATTTAAATTTCTATGTAATTTCTATAGGTGAGCAAACACTTACTTTGCAAATGATTAGATACTTGCTCATGTGCACACATACAAAGCACCATTTAAAACCTTGGAGTGCCATGGGCTGACCAATGACCAGGTGTTTAGAGATTTAGAGACCCAAAACTTAGAAATTAAAAAATTCTGCTCAAATGGGGCAAACAGGTTGACAATTCCTGGACTGTTGATTACTCCATTAGATGTTTGTTAACAAATTGTGTTCTACATAATGTAGCCATCTTTGTATGGTAGAGTCTCTAGAAAATGTTTTAGTACAACTGAATTACTTCATATTTTGTTAGTCTGATAACCTGTATAATGCAATCCTGTTCAATCACCCATATATGTTTGTAATGAAGGAATCATAAACTGTTTTATTTGTTTCTTAACCATTGTTATCATGTTAACATGCCAGCAAATAGTTGTTGTTTTTTTAATTATTTTAGAAATGTTGCCTTTTATATTGATAACTAGATACCAATCCTGTCACTGAACATTCAGAATGGTAATCTATTCTTCTGAATGTAATAGCCAGTGAGAAGAAAATATATTTTACTACATATAATAGCACTGATATTTATTGATTTTGTAAAGTCATTTGTTTTCAATATCCAGCTACAGAAATATAATGTTCTTGATGTATTTGAACATGGGTATTTCATTCACATTTGTCACATCTTTCACTATATTTAATCTCTAACATTTCATATTTGTCATGTTTTATGTGTCATTTTTTTGCATTTTTATTATGTGAATTTCTGTTCATTTGTCAAGGATAAAATGTATGCACATTCAAGTCCAAGATATTGATTGCTGTTTTACCGTAGGCTAGTGCATTAAAGTTCAGTTGGTTCTGCAAAACCTAAACATGTTAACTCTCTATCCTCTCTTTTATCAAGTACTTATATTTGCAGGGAGTGTTTTTATTTTTCAGTTACTGCAACACATTTTTTTATGAGCCTCACTTAATTGAACAATGGTGATTTTTTTTTTAAACATTTTTGTTATTGCAATACTTTTAAAGAAAAAAAAATATTATTCAAAGTGCTGTTGTTAGTTATAAATTAAAGGTTTTATGCTTGTTCTTAATACCACTGTGTTCATACCACAGTGAAAAAAATAAAACAATAAAATTGGAGAATTGCTTTTGTATTTGTGTGTATTTTCTCTTCTGTGTCTCAGATGGCAGCCATAGTGTTTGGATCAAGGGAGCTTTTGATGCTGCAACAGGTGATCAAGACTTTTTACGGATCAGCTATACATCCCCAGTGGGAAAATTCCAGTTTTTTGTTTGTTTTTATATTTATTTTGTTTAGTGAATGCTTTCAGTTACCGTTACATATATTAATTAAGAATAGTATTATATATCATTTGTAGGTATATATACACATATAGACAGGCATAGGACAATAACAAACACAAGAAAGAAGGATAGCGGCTTTAAGGATGGGCTCCTTCCCGAGGGGCATATTGTAAATTAAACCAGGTAATTGTCTAGAGATTTCTAAATTTTGTCCAAGGTAGCCAAAGATACCTATAGGAAGCGAAATGGTCCAATAACAAAATAAATGTCAGGATCTTACCTTGAGATGAAGTCCAACATGCAGAGTTATGGCAGCCTTTTCAGTTATTCACAAACCAAGGTTATGAGTCAGTGCACTGGGGCTATACAGGAACAGTGCTAGCGAATATGCAGCGCAAGCAAGGAAAATCCAAGAGGGAAGTTAGGGATGGAATCAAAGGTCAGGACAGGCGGCAATCAGGCAAATACGGCAGAGGTTCAAAGCAGGAGTCAGTCGAACAGCGCAGTATCCACAAAGGGGAACAAAACGATCTGACAACGAGGCAGTAGCAAGACAGGGTTTATATAGGCAGAAAATTTGCCACTCAATCTGGAATAAAAAGCAGGTGTGCAGCAATCCAGGCCCAGACACTCAGACGTCACAGGAATATAACAGAACCAGAAAATAACAAAGAGGAGTGACAACAAGGTAAAGTCACTGACTGGGGTTCAATCCCAGCCAGGCCCTGAGGAGTGATGTCCATGCCTGGCAGTTTGCTTGGCATGGTGCAAACCGTAATAATAAAGTTACATTCCATTGTATATTGATCATCTATTTGAACAATTTTTTTCTTGCCAAAGTGGTGGTTGAGTCTTTCCAGGAACGTGCAACAGATATTTTTAACGCAAACAATATATGAGTAATCAAATATTTTGAGAGTGAGAGGAAATAATTGTGATATCAGGAAATAAGGTATTAAAGAAAATTAACATTTTTACATTTCTCTTAGTATGTTACAATTCCACCATATATTAATATGGTTCCTTCAACGCTATTGCCTCTCCAACAAATAGGTGAATAAGTATTAGAACTTTTGTGTAATTTAATTGGAAGTAAGTATTACCTATACAAAATCTTTAGATGTAATTCCAATAAGGAAATGCAAATAATATTTTGTTTTAATTGAAGATTTGATTGATACCAAACATAAGGTGGAAAGGGAATGTTAAGGTCATTTTCCCATTTTATACTGGACGGAATTTTAATTACACGTTCATTACTATATATGAGATTAATAGATCTGGAAATCAGATCTTTATTCCAATTTTTTCCATAATAGTATCCAAAAAAATGATCGAATAGCATCAATTTAGAGTTCAAAAAGTTTTTAATTCTTAAGTAAAGGAAAATTTATAAAGAGCAGTGGTTCTCAACCTTCCTAATGCTTCGACCCTTTAGTACAGTTCCTCATGTTGTGGTGACCCCCAACCATAAAATTATTTTCGTTGCTACTTCATAACTGTAATTTTGCTACTGTTATGAATCGTAATGTAAATATCTCTCTGAAATATTGGTAGCATCCTAAAATATTCAAAAACATACATAAACAAAGCATACTAGATTTGCACCTGACTCTTGGAACTGAATTTTATATTCAAAATAGCCAAGTTGTAGGGTGCAGTGAAGAAAAACAAAAAATTTAAAGAGAATCAAAATAGTATTTAAAATGACTGTCAGGCATGATTTTCAATATACATTTTGTACGGACATGACAGAATAAATGGCAGGTGCAGAACGCTTTTTTTTTTGGTTCGTTTTTTTATGATCAAAGGAAACACTTGTCTCCCCACAAATGTACAACGTTTTGCCTCTGGCTCCAAAAATAGAAAAAAAAAATATTAATAGATGGAATGTACCATAGTACATTACATACCAGTAATGTAAAAGAAAAAAACAAACAAACAAAAAAAAAACACCACAATGAGTTTTATATTTTAAAAATAAAAAATAAAATTACTCTAATGAATATTAAGGCTGTAAATAGCAAAAGGGTTTTTAAAGTGTAATTTTTGACCCGCTCCTGTTATATAAAATATGATTATATATTGTGCTAACCTTTGACCCCTTTCAGTAGCTTAGTGGCTTCCTTTCGGCACATAGCTCTCGGTATAATCAGCATTAAACACAGTATCCTCTGTGAGTACGTTTCGTTCGGTTTCCTGTACAAACGTTCTAAGCCTATTTGTACGGGGTGTATGTGATGGGGTTGGCGCGATGATGTAATCACTCCGGGTACTCGTATGTGGGCGTATCTGCATGTGGGCGAACCTGCCTGGAGACAGATAGAGGACCAGCGTCTCGGTTCCTAAGACCATCGGAAATATGTGTTTTCCGATGGTCTTAGACGACCCTTGTGAAATGGTTGTTCGAAATGGTCGCAACCCACAGGTTGAGAACTGCTGATCTAGAGGATAGGTTATATTTAGTAAAAGAGGTAAAGTCATAAGGGATTTGTTTTCAATATATTATTTTAGAGATACCATGTTATTTCCAATTGCTAATATTGACTTCCAAGCATAGTCTATTGCAAAATATCAGTTGGAGCCCTAGAAAAAACAGTAATTTAATTCAAATTAGTTTGTGTTAATAATTTCAAAGTAATAAACATATACTCAGTTGGGGCGGAGCCAGCCGCACGGAACAGACGTGTCTCTCATGCGCTCAGTTTTAGACGGGGATAAAAACGTAATTTTACCCTATAATAATCACCACACCAGCTCCCACAGCACACATTCTACCTTGCGGAGGTAATGGGACACCAGAGCAAAAAACACTGGGTGGAAAAGCCCCCATCCACCGCCAATACCGGCGAACTTTTGTGGAGGCCGCAAGCATCCTCGAGGCCTGTCATTAGTAATAAAACTCTGTGATTTATACCTATATTATATATTAAATAAATATATATTGTATCACACAGCTAGGTTACAATGCTGCCGCCCATCCCATGTGTTCCCTATTAAGAGTTAATAAGTGTATATAGGGGTGCATATAAAAAATACCCCTTTCTGTCTCATTAGAGATATCTTTGCCAGAAGCTCAAGGAAGCAAGGTGAAGGGTCAGAGTAGGACCCATCTAGGGGGGTCTGCTTTGACGTTGGCAGGCGGGCATGCCCTCCAGTGGACATTGGAGTAACTAAATGACCTCCATTTGTTTAAATATACATAGGGATTAAGGAGAGAGCGCAGGTAACTTTTTTCTTTCGTTTTTACTCTGTGTATTGGACCTAATGTGTACTGTGGTCATTGCTGCTGCCCAGGAGTGATGGGAGTGAGCACAGGACTTTTCTTTTTGTGTTTGTTTTTGTATCATAACTAATATCTGTGGTCTTATTTTTATATATATATCTTCTTATTTCTCTCTTTGCTCTTTTAAAGCAGTTGGAGAGAAAAAAAAATAAAAAATACTCTTATAGAAACATAGAATGTGATGACAGATAAGAACCATTTTGCCCATGTAGTCTGCCCAATTTTCTTAATACTTGCATTATCTCTATCCCACGCATGCTTAAGCTCCCTCACTGTGTTAACCTCTGCCACTACAGTTGGAAGGCCATTCCGTGCATCCATTACCCTCTTAGTAAATTAATACCTTCTGGTATTATTTTTAAACCTTTGCCCTCTAATTTTAGACTATGTACTCTTGTTGATGTAGTTGACCCTCATGCTCCTTGGAGCTCTGTGGATTCGAGCCACATATATCACTTAGCCACTTATACAATCCTTCCTAGCGAGGGGTGGGGCGGAGAGAAATGGGGAATGCTGTAAATATGTTGAATTATATGCTAGGATATGTCTATCTGATAAGAGTAGGTACTCCTGGGGAACATGTTTACAGGGGACATTGCTCTCTAGGAGCTCACACTCTTATAACAACACCTTCCATAATAATTGTGACATTGCGACATTGGCAGAAAATCCCAAGCCACCCCATAGATGCTATCCTCTCCTACAAAGAGCGAGGTGGATCTCTTACCGCCACTGTGAGAACCCGACCCCCTTCCCTAGCCACACAACCTCCTGAGGTTAATATGGTCTCACATTTTATATAGTTCCCTTTTGGCAGATTCTGCTCCTAAAATGCCCCTAACCAAGAAAGGTGCTCCCACATAGCACTAGTGCCAAGGGGAGCCCTGGGACAAAAGAATCAAACAATACAGACCCCCCGGGTGCACACTACTAACAAAGCTGTGCTAATCCTTTTCCTACGCACAGATAGTGGAAAGGGGCAGGGTTCAGCCACTCCTATCTGGGAAACACTTTTTCAAACGGTAGGGAAGCTCCAGCCCCCACTTAACTCTGGCGCCATGTAAGACCAAAGTACAATGTACAGTTATGTATGTTTTTATTGTATAAAGTTATATTTATTGGAGTTTACAACCAGGCAATACAGGGTTTACAGTTACACACACAACCTCGGCATACAAGAAGGACCACACTGCTCAGACCTCAAGAACAGCAGACACTAAGCAACCACACCCTCCACACTCATTGTGGCAGAACCAACCTCGCCACTGGAGGAGCCTGGTCGCCCGCCTCCTGCCGCTGGACTATGGCCCTATGTTAAAAACCTTTTATTTTCCCTGCAGAAAGGCTTAGTCGTGCCTTTCTGCCTGGGCGTTTGATAGATTGAATCTACCGAACAAACTACCGACCGATCGACCACCTGTGAACTGGAGTCTGCTGTTAATTAACCGCAGCTTAATCGACGAACGCTGGGTGGCCTTTGTTCATTTGCCGAGCATGTGGCAGCGGCCATTTTAAACTCCCGAACGGCCAGCGGTGTTCAAAGCCGGGCAGGTAGCCCCAGTA